ATTTCCCTTGCGGCTTATTTCCTCGTCGCGGAACATCTCTTGATTGCGGCGCATGAACCTGATCTGGCCGGTGATATTGTAAAATATTGTAAAATACGAATAGCGCACGATAAATATACTGCTCAAAAGAATTATGGCATAGATAATTTTTATTGCCGAAAATTGGCCAACTTTGACTGGCATGTGATGCACCCCTCCCTACCTCTGTAACCCCTGACATCTGAGGGCATGTTTGGTATACTGAGAATTGCAAAGTTTGACGGAATGCACGAACGAGGACAATTTTGTTTCGGGGACGCCGTTTGCATCGTCATAAAGTTCAAATCTTCTCCTTCAATTTGGAAAAAAAAATGGAGTCGCTACAATTTTTTTTCCGCAAAGTTACAGGCCTTCAAAAATATCGTTGTTTTTGGCCTTTGAGCCAAGTGTGAGTGCCAAGCACGCATGTGTGTGTGTGTGTGTGTGTGTGTGTGTGTCTGTGACAGAAGAGACAAGGATCTCGTGATTCGTCACTTCCACAGTAATTATTGACTGTGTAAAAAAAAAAAAAAATCATTAGTCTACAATAATTTTTCGCGAAGTAATCGCCAGTCAAAGTTGGCCAATTTTCGGCAATAAATTATCTATGCCATAATTCTTTTGAGCAGTGTATATTCGAATCGGTCAACGCGATTCAACGCGCGTCGCCGTATAGAAAAGAACCAAGCTGCGAGAGTGTGAAATCATCGGTCGACGTAATTATGCGGAATCGGCGATCGGCCGATTCATACCTGTCGCAATGCTCGGAGCGCCGGTTTGCTCAACGACACATCATTTTCCACGCCGTTCGGAACGCGCGCGTTGCCATATACGGATAACGGAAAACACGGCTCTCGCGAGTCCGAGCGAGTCGGAGCGAGCGAGAGAAGAGGAACGGAATGCGCCGGAACACTTCTCGGAGGAGAGTGTCCTTATACGAGGGAGGAGAAGACGAGGAGCTCGAGACGAGGACTCGCCCAATGCGGAGAAAACACGTCTCCGCCCTCTTGATTTTCCAGCGCGCACTGACAGAAAAATATAGTTGAATTACTATAATCTCACTATATTTTATAGTTCATTTTGGCGTCAACCATATTTCTACAGTTCGTGGAAACCTGCAAAATATAGTAGAATAAACACAAATATATAGTCAATGATTGTCTTAAATAATTGTTTGGTTACTTTTACCACATATATGGTAATTTCTCATTCGTAAATATAGTGAGATTTAATATTCATATAGTTACATCTGTCATCATTTAGCAAATATTCTGGTAATATTGACTATATAAAAGAGTTACTTCACCTACCACTTTACATTTGTATCCATACAATAATTTTAGTTAGTTTAACTTACTACAATTCTTAGTAAAAATATTATATTCTTGGTTATACTATGCCTATATCGTAATAATTAGCGATATTATGGTAATACTTATTACTTACGAATATGATATTTCGGACTATAATGTAGTTACTATATCGCTATAGTTCCAAATGTCATATACTTTTCTCTCAGTGCGTATCTCGCTGGGACATATATCGGCGTCGATAAAAAGAATCCAGGGGCGAATCCAGACGAGAGAATTGGAGAATTTTACGACACAGTGGCGCGCGATACGATTCACTCTCGACTGCAGCAACGATATATAGAATATCGACGTGGAGTCTCAAGCCGTTAATAAACTACGCGACTGATCGGGGAGTCGCGAGTGGATCGCGGTGGGAAATAAAATGTGTGTCGGGGAACACACCAAGTGCTCCCAAGTGTTACCTGGGAATTGATCCACTCCGTTATTAGTTGAGGCACGCGATAAAAGCCCGACGTGTCGTCGCGATATAGACGCCGTCGGCCGCGAAGGCTTCGGCTAACCGGCTGAAACATGACACGACGAGCGAAAATCCCCGTGCGAGGAACACGTGCTGCGCGCTCAGCGAGACGGAAAATTCATTCCGACCGGCGACGACGGCAATCCAATTTCTTCGGCTGTAAACTAACATCTCTCCCTCCCTGTCTGCCTCCAGGACGAAGAACACAAAATGCCGCGTCGACGCTTCGCGCGCGTCACGAAAGCAGCGCGCGCCGGCTTTGACGAAATCGCGTCGGCCTTAATCGCGAAATCGGAGATCGAGCGAAATTAATAGCGAGCACGCGTCGCAATTGCGACGATTAGCAGCGCAACGTATCGCAGACAAAGAGAGAGAGAGAGAGAGAGAGAGAGAGAGAGAGAGAGAGAGAGAGAAAGTCCCGAGGGATTGTATTTGGCAGGGAACGAGATTTTTCGTCGGCGCCAGAGACACGCCCACGCTCGGCGAGACGAAAAGTGATTAAACATTGGAATTATTGTTTTTTTATTGTTATGAAAATTCGATTTGATTTACTCCTCGAGTCGACTTATATCGAGTAAATTTCTTTTCATTCTTCAAATTTACCTCTCCGGTCTATAGTTTTGCAATCAATTGCAGAAACCGCGGCTCGTCTATAACGCGTCTCGCGCGACTCCGCGCGGGAACGCGGGGGAATAAAAGATAAAAGAATGCGAGCACGCGCGGAGGAGAATCGCAGTTTGCGTCGTCGCGTTTGCGCGAGCGATGCATTATCGGGCATTATCGGGCTCGTCGCTAATGGCTCTCGTTCTCGTTGTAGCATCGAATCATGCTGGGAGCTATGCGGCAATTCAAAGCGAAAGGTCCGCCCGGCCCGCCCAAACAGTTTCGCCGCCGCCGCCGCCGCCGCCGCCGCGTCGGAGAACGCTCGCTTCATTAAGTCCACAGAGTCGACTCAATTAACCTTATTACGGTTTAATCGCAAGCAGAGCACGAGAGGCGAGCTCTCTCGCGTCGACGTCGCCCAAAAATAGCTCCCGACGATTGTTTATCGAGTCGCGTGCGAAGAACACGTCGGCAACGCCGCTCCGATATGCAAAAGAAGTGCAAACGCGAGAGGCCCGAAGTATACTCCCTCCTCCCGCACTGGCAAGAGAGCAAGGAAGAGGGAGGGAGGGAGGAGGGCGACACACGGAATCTCGCTTCCGCACGCGTCCTGAGGATTAAGTGGAGGTCGACGAATTGCCGGAGAATTACATAATCCGTGACGGGGCGAACGCTAATAAGATCCGCTTTCCTTCCATTTACTTACGTCGCACAGTGGCGAATTTTCATAAAATGCTGGTCAAAACTTAAAAATTTGTCTTATCAGTGTCCAAATTAGAGAACTCAAAGATTTTTAGGGTCACGAATTATGAATCGATGTGTAAATTATGAAAAATTATATAGGACCCAATATAAGAAACACAATATCTAATTTAATTGGAATTTTATCAAATTTTAAATTATAAAAAAATTAGTCACGAAAGATACACATTTGTCTTTTTTGGGTTTAAAATATTAGTTACTTGAAAGAAAAGTTATATAGGCTTGAAAGCCTAACCTTTGTACACCTCTTTTATACACAACTGCATATATTCGCAAAATTTATGTGTGTCATTTGATAAAGTACTAAATATACTATAATACCATGCTTACAGCTTGACTGGATAAGCAACTATAATAGTACATTTAGAAAAAATTGTACAGCAAATTCTACATCTTAGACTACATGACTCTAAAAATCTTATAATTATCAAAATAAGAAGAATGGATGATATAACATATTCTACTACTAACCTTCAGAAATCGAATGCATATTTTGGCATATATTTTGAGAGAACGTATTTCTGTGCGTTTCTTTAATTTGACGCTGTGCCGCTTGTCACAACGGGTAAACGAGCAACGTTTAAAAACATCAGGAACATCAGAAACACGCTACGGGCTGTTCAGAAGAACAGAAGAACGATGGGAATTATGTGATAATATTGCAAAAATATTTGGACTTTTGACCAATATGGTACCAAAACTTAGGAAGGAAGTTTTTAATTCTTTTTCCGATTTTGGCCATACTTTTAAGAAATTTCGCCATTGTGCGTCGCGCGTCCGACACTTTTTGTTCAAACAGCATGCGTTCTCTCTCTCGCTCGCTCCTCGGCGAACGCGAGACGCGTTTCTCATTTTTCCCCTTTTCAGACGAGCAGCACCTATAAGTTCTTTTCTCATACCGGTGCTCCGTACCGGCGTCGCTGTGATCTTTCATCACATGTGTCGCACTTTTTTCCCCTGGAGTGACTTCGATCAATAACCAACCCGGCGACACAATGCGTCTGGATCGCTTAGCAAACACGCGCATTCCACGTACGCGCGGTATTTGTGCAATGAAGAAACGAGAGGAGAAAGAGAGAGAGAGAGAGAGAGAAAAAAGGCCGCGAGAACACAGAGCGAGAGGCAAGGACGACGCTGAGAGAACGGAGAGAGAGAGAGAGAGAGAGAGAGAGAGAGAGAGAGAGAGCGAGAGAGACAGAGAGAAAAAGAGAGAGAGAGAAACCGTTCATGGCCTTCGCTATCGTGCCGAAGAGACGCGGCGCGTTCTCCGGCACTGACTGAAATCTCTCGGCGGCGACCGGAACGCAGACGGGCGCGTTCAGCATTGCGATATCGGTATGTATATTTCTCGTGACAATGAGAATTCGATCAGCTAGCTCGGACAAACAATCTCTCTCAATAACTCGACAAATAAACGCGACGCGGGAAGACGATGTACGCATTGCGCGATCGCGCGCGCGCGCGAGAGAGAGAGAGAGGCCGTACACCGCCGACGGCGCAGCGCAGAGCAGCTGGCGCGAGATATTTCCAAAGCCGGGTTGTCTCGTTTGATCCCGTCACTCCAAAGGAGAGATCGGCCACCTTGTCCCAATTTTATTTTTGGACGATGAGCGACTCGCCGGAGCGGGGTGAAAAGGGCGGCCCCGCCTAAGATGGGGGTGCGCGCGAGAGCAGGATTCACAGGCGGCCGAAGGACGAGGAAGAGAGGATTGAGGAAAAAGAGAAAATATGGAGGGCTGGGGGGAGCAGCTTCACGGGGCGGGGGAGGGGGGGGAGGTATCACTCACCAACACGTCGTAGCAGATCTCGCGTAATTCCTTCTCGACCTTTTCCCGGTATTCCTTGGCCATCTGCTGTTTGCGCTCGGAGCCCTCGGTCTTCTGCTCGATGGAGGAGATTACCCGCCACGAACTACGTCTCGCCCCCACGACGTTCTTGTAGGCGACCGAGAGCAGATTCCTCTCCTCGTTCGACAGTTCGACCCCCGTCTCGGTGACCGCCTTCATCGCGGACGCCATGTCGTCGTACCTCTCGGCCTGTTCGGCAAGCTTTGCGCGCTGCACCAATTCCTCCTTATCCACGGACATTGTGTCGGCTGAAATCAGAAAGAAGCGCGTGCGAGTGTCTCAGCACAGCTGTTGTTCGTCGGCCACCAGCACAGCGGTAATGCGTCGCCTGCGAAAGCGCCGTGTTTTCGTCGTCCGTCGGGCCGCGGCGATATCGCAAAAGTATCGCAAAAGTATGGTTTGAAGGATAAAATGCAATTGTATATCGGCAAGATATTAACTCTCGACGTACTTCGGCTTACGATCACAATTCCAATCAATCAATCGACTCAAGAGTTCGACTTACGGGATCGGTCCCAGGCCTCCTCGGCCTTCGAATTTCAGGCAACCCTCCCTCCTCGCCGACCTGGAGAAACCTACTACGCGGCGAACACTGGGTGGTGAATGAAAAGTGGAAAAATTCTCGTGCCTCGATATTGAGGCAGGTCTAAGGTGGAGGAGGCAAGCTCTTAGGAGGCGGCAGCAGCCTCCAGCGCACGTCCAGATATGAGGACGCAACAAAGCTCAGCCGGCGAGCGGCTTCAGTGTCGCACCGGGGTCTCTTTTGTTGCGCGTCCGGAGAGGTCGGAAGAATGGCGGCTGCCGCGTCACACACCCCGCGCTCAGAGAAGCCAGAGCTCAGATGACGCGATGACGACGCCGACGACGCTCGCGTATCCTTACGAGCGAGACGCAATCGGCTGACCTCGATCGACACGCGCTTTTCCTCTGCGCGCACAGAGGGGTTGTTCTTTTATTTAGGGAGGGTGCTCCGCGAAGCAATCTCGCGACCTTGTCACGGGGGGGAAGAATGAAATTCCGCCTCCCCCCCATACTCGCCATTCTGCCTCTCGTCTACTTGGCCGTAAACGACGGGACGAGGAAATGACGTTAATCGTTCTTGCTCGAAAACGGAGGCTCGTGTTAGCGAGAGATTGTCGCCGATTAAAGTCGTACGAAAAAATTAAGCCTATTAAACTCGAGCTTGCTTTTGCTAATCGAGTCTTTCAGATTCGTTCCGCAACTTTTGCCGGTCTGAACTATTTTGAGGCACTCGGAAAACCTCGGAGTTTCTTGGACCTTGAAAAGCTCGAGTTCCTCCCTGTGCCTAAAACAACGGGATCCCTTCAGCTGCCCTTGCACGCTTTTCAACAGGCATATTATGCCTACGAAAGAAGAAGGATGTTTCTCTGTGGCGAGGGAACTACGACGCAGTTTCGACATGGCCAGCTGCCAACCTCGCTCTACCCCTGGACGGAAATGTTCAGGTAGAATCTTCCCTCGTGACAATGGAAGGAAGGCGAAAAATCGCGGACCTTTTGAGAGCGAAGGGGATAACCGTGCAAATCTCAGCAGGTCAAAAAACTTTCTTCTACGTTCGTAGAAGATTCTTCTTTATGGGAAAAAAGCTATAATCTCTCTCCTCGCTCGTTTCGGTAATGGCCATGTTATTTTCCGATGTTAGGAAGGTATATTCCCCGATGGTAGAAAGCGAGAGCGAGAGAGAGAGGGAGAGAGAGAGAGAGAGCGGATAACGAGAGAGAAAGAAGAAAGAAAAAAGAGACAGGAATATATCACCGCACTAATCGAGATGTTATATCCTCGATCCGATGAGAATGTAGTCATCGATCGTCAAAGAATCAACACGCGTGGTCGCGTATATACGGAGGTAACTTCTGTACGCGACTCGACAAATACACAGACGTTATCAGACACGAGAGGACTGCGGAGGCGCAAGGAGGGGGAGTGTGTACAGGTGGATGTGCGTACATTTACCGGGGGCAACCGTGTTTCCGTGGTAACCACGGTACAGGGTCCGATTCGTCTCTCTCTCTCTCCCTCTCTCTCTCCCCCCCCCTTCTCTTGGACTTCCATTTCCGACACGAGAGCGAGATCCGCTCGTGACGCGGAGAACTGCGTCGTCCTTTGGACGATTATCGATCGACGGGCGCGCACGAGCGCGCCGTGTTATCTAACGAAGCACGTTACGTAAGACCTAATCCGGAGCTGCGTACACGAATATATCAGCATGACGATAATGAGAGGTCCATGGAAACCGATACTTGTCGACCGTATAATCGGATAACCATTAATCTAATTGCCGGATTCTTCGAATGTGTCAAACAACAAATACTTATATCTAGTATTTACGTCCGATGACCGAGCGCGCGCACGACGACGTTCAGACAAATCTCCTACATTTCTTTCCCGCATAATTTCCTACATTTTTTACTCGTGATAAGATTACGATCTGTTTTTTTTTCTTCTATTCCCCCTCCGCCGTCCGATGCCTCCGGGGCAAGAGACGAGGGATGCACAGTCTGTTTTCTCTTTTTCCGTTCACTTTCATGACGACATGACAAGTTGTATTTTTTAATTTCATTCCTAGTCACGGGACACGGGGACGAAATTTACAAAAGGAGAATTATTTTCTGTCCTTTTACCGTCGGTTTAACCTCTCTACGATAATGTGAACCATTTCTGCCCGAGAATGCCTCGCCACGAGTGTGGGTGCTCGGAATTACGATCGATCCCGCTCCACCTTATCGTTTCTAATCTATCATCTTAATCTATCAGTCTTGACATCGCCGCGGAAGTTTTAAGGATCGGTAACATCCTTACCTTACGGACACATGGTCATAGACACACATACGAGCGGTTCGTCATCTCTTTATCTATCATTCCATTAGGCTATCTCCATTAAGGAGAACGAGCGAGCATAATTTCGGAATAGACTCCACGGACTTTATCGCGCAAAGGGAAAAAAAAAGAAAAAAAAAAGAGAAGAGAACAAAATAAATGCAGATCACTGTTGCTTCTCGCAAGCAATTACCGTACATTTTGTGCGATTTTGCGCCATCGTCGCGTCTCGAATATCCCAAGCCCAGATTTCTGCATCTGTCGTTCACATGCGATAAATCGGTCTTTAATGACTCGGCGATTCGATCAAGATATCGCCAGATCACGTCGGCGGATCAGAGGCGCACGTGCGAATCCGCGGGGACGATAAGAGCGGGGAAGCCGCAATTTGTCCGATTGATAAAACGAACGAGCGGCTAGTGACACGTACGATTCATCAGGAGCGAATCAACACGTCGTCGACGGTCTCTGCGCGCGCAAGAAACGTGTGCAGGTAATACGTCATCGTTGTCGAGAAATTGGAAACCGCAAAGTGGAGAAGAAGTCGTTACACGAATGCAGCTGATGATCCGAGTGTTGGTGATACGACACGAGCGACAAAAAGCATCTTCCACTTTTCTTTTTTCTTCGACGATATTGCTTTGAAGAGAAATCAATGAACGACGATGAAAACTCACCTCGTTTAAATGCTCGTAATGCATGGGTGATCCTTTCGAGGGTGATCTTTTTCACGTTGGCTTGTGTAAATATAATTTACACAAATCCTGTGAATCTTTGAAACACGTTGCAAAGATAAAGAACAGATAAATGATTAAACACTTGGATGTATGATCAAAGCCTCGGATCAATGCGCAGATGTCTGCTATCGAATTTTCAAGTCCCCGATAAATTAAATTCCCGAGAATGTTTGGATTGTACTTTTCTACAACGACATTCGTCAGCCACTTTTTTTTATCTGTTAGTCGATTAGATTAAACTTGTAGTTTTGTCGTTAGATAATCACCCAAGTACTTTTTGGACCAATCTCGCGTTGTGAAAGATCAGTATTAATTCCATCTAAGATGCAAGTGTTACTTACTTGTTGAAAAAGAAATAAAATATGCAAGTTTCTAGATTCCACAGGCATGTAAGAGAAACGATGATGTCGTAATACCGGCGTTCGTTGTACCGGCCGGAACGTTGTGTCGTCGCAGTAGTACGCGAGGCAGGAAACGACGATGATTCATAAAATTGAAAGAGAACGAATTACAACTCACACTCGACGTACTCGCGAGGAGGTATATTGCGAGAACAGCGCGTAACCGCGCGCAACTCACGTCGCTTACTGGAATAAAAAAAAAAATTGCTGAACGAAAAATTGTTACGAATTTTTCCTGTATCCTATTCTGCCGATTTCGCGGAACCTCGCAGAACGTTCTTGTTTCGATGATATGTCCGTAAGACTATGCATTCTGCGAATCTGCGGTCTCATCAAATAACTCTCGAGTAGAAAAGTGATTCACGACCAAACAGATTCGCGATCTTCCGAAAAATTACGAATATCAATTCAGACACATCGAATCTGAAATCCTGCAGATCCTTCAGGGGGTGAAGAAATATCTCCGCAAGTTCTTAAACGATTAATTTAAAAGAGGCGTGTCGTCAAGAACAAAAGCGTGAATCATAGACAACGAACGAGAAATACAGGGTGCGTGTATATAACGGTATTCGAGGACAAATTGACATTAAAACTAATTTGTTCATATTTTTTGCAAAATTTATTAGAATTCCATGAAATTTTTACACGACGTCAATTGACTCCTAGACTATACAATTACTCAATAAAATCCCCATTAGCGGCAATAACGGACTCAATCCGGGGTCGGAAACGATTGCATGCCCGAATCAGATGCTCTTTGTTCATTTTGATCATTGTTGTTGTTATAGCATCCTTCAGTGATGAAATATTATTATGAGGATGTTTATTGATCTCCCGCTCAACTACGCCCCATACGTAATAATCCAGCGGATTAAGGTCTGGGGAGCTAGGTGGCCATAAGTTTGGGGTAATGTGATCATAGAAATTTTCGGTCATCCAATCTTGTGTCGTCATGGCTTTGTGTAAAGGAGCAGCAGAGTCTTGCTGGAATATGTCCCCACGTACACTATCAATCCAGGGTTTCACAACTGTTTCTAAAACCTCGATGTAGGCGGCAGCATTCACCCGAAGCCCCTGACGAAAGAAGTGGGGTGGCATAACATGTCCTTCGTTGCTCACAACTCCTAAAACCATGACAGTTGCTGGAAACTTCGCGTGCATAACACGGGGAACCTCTGTAGGATGTGAGCATAACCACCTGTCATTTCTCCATTTGATTTTTTGGTCTTGGTCGAAATTTTTTGCGTCAGAAAAAAACCGCAACATGTTAGG